TATCCTTTGCTTGGTTGATACGTTATTGGATCATCTACGAGGAATGGATCCATTCGTCAATATGACTCTGTAATTCGAGCTATCCTCCGCTGGGAGTCCAATCTTCAACATACCTAGGACAAGTGGGCGTTGATGACATAGGAATGAGATATCTGATAACTATAGATGGTTCTATGGAGTCTCAGGAAATCCCAATGATATACTAGGCATGACAAGATGGTTTGGATTGAAGCAATCAAGGTTTTATGACTTGGAAAAGTGCTATCACTTAGAGAAGCAAAAGTCGTTACCAATGTCTTTAGCAAGAGAGAGTTATGCTAAGAAGATTCGAATGACACCATGGACTAAGAATAGTCGTTTGAGAGTCGAGCAACTTGATCTGAGCATCTGAAGTCATTAATATTTGAAAGTTGTCAATAGAATCTACTTTAGACCAAAAAAGTAAGAAGGCTCCGTTGGAAGGTGAACATATGAAAAAAGAGGTCTAATAAGTATCAACTAAAAAAAGAAAGGTGGCCTAGTTATTGGAGTTACCTGAGTATTGTTTAGAGTATTTGTTAGAATTTTGGAATTAGTGGAGCAAGATACTTGGAGTAAGGTTAACTGATATGCAGAGTGAGACAGAATCCTTATCAAGAAGATGAAACTACATGAGGAAGTAAAGAAGAATCTAAAGACGAAGTATCCATATCTCTGAGTTGACGTCGTTCGAATCTCGAGGACGAGATTTATCTTAAGGGGGGTAGAATTGTAACACCGTAAAAATTTCAATTTTGAAAAATAGGTTTAAAAGGATTAATTTATGAATTTTTGTGCTCATAAAAATATAGGAAAAAGAATATTTTTCATTATATTAAAATTTATCATAAGGAGTACCAACATGGTTGTGCATACATGTCGGTGCATTTGATTTATTTGGTTGAATGGTTTTGATTAAAAATTCAAAATGGTTTAAATTGCTTTTGGGAATAAGTTTGAAAATGGCTCTAAAATAAAAGAAAAGAAAAGAAAAAGAGAATTGGAAAATAAAAGAGTTTTCAAAAGTTTGCAAAAGTTTAGTTTTGGAAATCTCTCAAAAGTTCTCATCTTGAAAAGTATATTTGAAACTATATTTGGATTTGCCTTTGGTTCATAATTGAATTTGGTTTTGAAAACAAAATAGAAAAGAAAAAAAACTTTCCCTCTCCTCTCCCTCCTTTCGGCCTAGCCGGCCTGGCCTTCTTCCCCTCAGCTCCTCCCCGCGTAGGCCTGCTCCGCTCTCCCTCATTTCCCCGCGCCTTATTTCCTTCCCTGCGCGACCCACACCAGGCCGGCCTAGCACCGCGCCGCTCCTTTCCCTCTCTCTCGGTCGCCGACCGGTGGGCCCTAGCTGTCAGTCGTCCCCTACCTCCAACCACGCCGGACTCTAACGCGGCCGAGTCCATCTCCTCCCCGTACCCGCGTTTGGCGTGCACCCCAAGCCACGCTGGGCCTTAAATATCGAGCTCCCGGCACCGCTCCCCCCTCGCCTAACCCTATCTCGCTCCGCCTCGCCCCGAGCTAGCCTAGCACCACCGCCTGGATCTCGTCGTGTGGAGCTCGATGCCGCCGTGACACCTTCGTAGCTTCACCGCCGCCCTGATCCCCTACCGAGCTACGCGTGGTGGTAAGGAACCTCTGAAGCCATCTTCCCCTCGCTCTCCTACTCTCTACTGCGTGCACAACCTCGCCGTCATTGTCGAGCCACCATCGCATGCATCCCGCTACCCCTGCGCCCTCATGGCCATCTCTGAGGCCCCCATCGAGTTCGTGAGCCCGAGTTACGCATCCCCGTGCCCTCGCTTTGCTCAGCCGTGGCCCGTAGGCTGTTTTACGTGAACTCCGGCGAGGTTGCGCTGTCATCGGCCCTGTCCTCTGCCGTGCCAGTTACCTATTCCGGCCGGTTTCTCTCTCTCCCTCCCCAGCTTCTAATCTGAGCCGCCCATCGCAAGATCAACGGCTCAGACCGGCCAATACCCTTTCAACGACCATCTTGCTAAAGAGCCCCTGTGCGAACCCGCCGTCCCTGCAATTTTGTTAAAGAGCCCCTGCCTTTTCCTTAAATAGTACCCGCAGTCCATGGCCGGTATAAAATCAGATTTTATTTATTTTTGAATTCGAAAATCAAGTTCCATCTATTTACAAAACTGCCCCTACCTTCAGTAGGCTATATCTTCTCTGTTTTAGCTCCGATTTGACTCGTTCAAGTTGCGTTAGATTCGAACGACGTAATGTACGCATTAGTAAAAATATTTATCATATCACTAGCTCTGGAATTTTATGGTTTAAACTCTAACTTGAATAATAATTATGCAACTGGATTTTATAAATAAAATATGATTTGTTTTACTTTAGTTTTATAATTCAAATCTAAATTTGACTTAATTCAATTTATATAAGCTTTTATATAGTTAAAACACATGAAGCTTATAGCTTTATATTTTCTCTTATGAGTAGATCTTTCGGTAGCCGTTTCTTTCAAACCGTAGCTCCGATTAGTGTGCTCTTCACGCTTGTGTGTGTAGAACGTCTTTAAAACCTTTTTACTTACTGTTTCATATGATTGGTGTATTGTTCTAATATAGTTATGTTTGAATGCTATGCATGTTTGTTCGGATGCTTGTGTGGTGCTATAATCATGTCTAGTCGGTGAGCTATACATGGTGAATCAAGAAGCAGAACTTTAAAGGTTTGGACTAGAAGAAGGATCTAAGTTTAATGCAAGTATAGCATGGGATCTTCCTTGTTATCCTATACACCTTTAATCATTTAATTCACACTGCATATGTCTACCTTGGCAACCGTAGTAATTTTCCTAGCTATTTAATATCCTGGATTCCTTGTCACCTATGAGGTATTGCATTGGTTAGTATGATGCTAGTGCTCAACTGAGACCATGATCTTGTAACTTGACTAATGATATATGCAATAAACACTAAAAGATGCTTTTTAGCAATATGGAATTTGGGGCTAGAGCATTGGACTGTTTTTATGGTGCTCTAGATTTCTCTCCATAAGGACTTATCTGTAAGTGATCATTCGAGACTTACAGTACAGCTGTGAGGGCTACATGGCTCTGGCTTTAGCTCAGTATGAGGACATTTTCTAGCTTGTTAGTGGTTACCTTTATTGGCGTAAGAATGGCTTGCCGAATCGGGTATAGTGCGGCCTCTGTCCCCTTGTGTATAGGTTGTGCGTCATTGTGCCATCAGGAAGGGGGCTCTACATCTATTTGCTGAGTGAATCTAATGGCCCTAACTTGTTAGACGATCCTTTGAAAGGCTTTATAGTGAACCTTGCCGACCTTCCTTGGAAGTGGGTCAAGAGATTAGCTACCTCGGGCAAAAGGGTAAATCACGACTCACAGTGAAAGTGTACAACCTCTGCAGAGTGTAAAACTGGTATATCAGCCGTGCTCACGGTCACGAGCGGCCTTGGAACATTTACGGAATAGATGATTATTAATGGTTAATGATGATGAACACTGATGATAAAGATGTTCACTAATGAATACTGTTTATGCTATTTATTATTCATGTTTACCTGATCATGTGTTTATGGGCTTATGATAACTTTGTTGCCACCCTATCGCTAAAATCATGACTCAATAAAAGCTAATCGCAGTTAAACCAGTGTCAGCCTTTTGAGCCTCATGAACCCTATTTTATATTTGTTGAGTACGACATGTACTTATGCTTGCTTTATTTTTCACATATTTGGAAAAAATCCCAGATAGTTACCGGATTGCTAGAGTTTGGAGAAATTAGGCTTGTGAACAACCAGTCAGTTGTCCCTGTGGAATTGGAGTCTTCACCCGAAGATTGGAGTTGTTTTTCCACTGTTTGGTATCTAAGGTTATGTCCTTTATACTAAGTACGTTATATATTGAGCATTGTCTATTGATATTACCCTTATTTGTAGTTATATGTGAGATTTGACTTCCTGGGCTCATATATGGAGTGTATCTGGTTTGGTCCTTAAAACCGGGTGCTACAGCGGCCGGCTTCCTCCCCCAAAACTCTAGGTCTCATTTCTTCTCCTCTCCTTTTCTCTGAGCGCAGCGACACTACAGCAGCGGCGACCCAAGGCTGCCGAAGAAGAGAAGGCCGGCGCTGTCGCAGGCCCCCTAGCCGGCACGCGTGTTCGCCCGAGGGTGAACGCGCCGTCGTTGAGCGGGCTTGTAGTGGCGTCAACGGCTGGGCTCGCGCGCACGGCGACGAGCGCGGCTCAACCGTCTTCCCGTGTGTCGGCGAGGCGGCGGCGGGTCCTTCTTCCCGCGCGTGGCAGTGTCGACGGTGGTGAAGAAACCGGGTAGGTCCTCTCCTTCTTCGTCCGTTCCCCTTCTAGGGTTAGGGTTAGGGTTAGGGTGATTCAACTCGATTCGTTTCTCTCAATTCATCTCCTTCTAATTTCTTTTGGATTTCTACCCCAAAATCTAGATCTACACGCTAGGGTAGACGACTGATACCATTGTTAAACTTACAGGATCATTAGATTTAGATCTAGGGGTGCTGACTTGACTAGAATAGGATTAACATGCCCTAGAACATGGACTACGAGATCCAAGAGGGAGAGGGGAGCAGAGGTACCGACCATCGGAGGGCTTGGTGGAGCTGGAACCGTCCATTGCGTCGGTAGAGAGGGCGGTGAAGAGGTGGCGCTCCAGTGGCGGTGTAGCGGTGAAGTGGTCCAACAGCGACGGCGACTCGGTGATTGTGCTTCCCGTCGCTGGCTGCGCCCCTCACTAGATTGGGTTAGGTTTTGTCGGTGGATATGGCGGCTCACGGTGAACCTCGTACTGAGAGCCGCCGGCACCCACCTCTCTTTATAGCGCAGTGCGATGGGGGCCCACCAACCATGTAGGGTTGGGCGCCCCCGATAAGGGCGTGAGGTCAAGGCCCAACTCGGCCGTTGGGCCGAGCTGGAGAGATCAACACTAACATGGAGTTCTTGGTTGGACTGGTTCTCTTTAGGGATCGGACATGTGGCCGTGGACAACAGAGTTAATAGAGTCAGATACAACTGAGGACTTCGTCAAGATTGTCTACAGGACAATAGTAGGACATAAAGTTTGCGCCTCACTTTTGTAAGCTCATGAATTCACTTCCTGAGAACATTGTACCATAACTATACAGTTTGTCCTGGCAATTTCGACTCTTTATATATCTATTTGTTGGTTCTGGTTCTGTTCTCACTATTTACAAAAGGACCAACTGATCAGTTGTCCAAGTGTCATCAAATGTTGCAATGTACTAACCCTCTATGACTGGGTAGATATTAAATTTTGTTTTCCTAGACAGGTTTTTTCTATTATTGTTGAACTCTTTTGCTATATACAAGGATATCAACTTTTTTTTGTACCTATTGCTTTCTAGACTTGATATAGTTTATATTTCTGATTATTTTTCTCTTTCAAATGTTTAGACATAGACTGCGTTCAGGGTTTGCCACTATGGCGTGAAAGTACATCAGTTGTAAATGATGAACTCTTTAAGGGTTACAGACAAAATGGTGGAGGTAGTGGAGGTGGAAAGACGAATGAATTTGTTGCAGGTGATCTCCTCTTCTGATCAGACTTCAACGAAATGTTTGTCTTTATTGCTTTCAATTTTCTATTGTGTATAACTTGCTTCTGTCCAGGTTATGATTTTCTGAACACAAATACGAATGGTCTTGAAATGAATATTTGGGTACAACTCTACCTATAACAACAACACCGCATACGTACCTATTTCATTACTACGAGTTCCACGCTTGGTTAATGCTGTGAGTTTGTACTACAGCACAGATTCATGTTACTGATATTCATCTGTATGCAACTACCTCTAACACTTGCTATCTTACCTATAGGCATAAAACGAGTACATTAAATTTCTCAGAGGAAGTGGAGTGGAAATGTTGCTTCAATATGTTAAAGAGATGCCCAAAGTAGGAACAAAGCTGAAATTTGACCTCTCTTCTCTTCTTGGTGCACTGTTCTTCACATGAATCATTGAACTACTATTTCCAGTGAGTGCAAGATATGACCTTTTCTTAAGGAAAGAGGTAAAATAGATTAAATAATAAGTCAATGTTACACTTTTTGCAGGTCATATTAACATATCTCGTGTACGAGAAGCAACAGAAGCTGAAGATTATGATGAAGATGCATGGTCTGAAGGATGGTCCTTACTGGCTAATCTCCTATGTTTACTTCTTTTCCCTGTCGGCTATCTACATGATACTGTTTGTGATTTTTGGCTCCTTGATCGGTAATTAACTTGAAATTTATTCAAAGTTAATGCAAATTTTGCAAATGAAGTATGTAAATTGAATTCAACTTTCCTCTATGCAGGTCTAGATTTCTTTAGGAAAAGTGACTATAGCCTTCAATTTGTCTTCTATTTCATCTACATAAACCTGCAGATTTCACTTGCATTTTTTGTAGCTTCCTTCTTTTCTGCTGTCAAAATAGCCACAGGTTTGTTTTGGGCATATTTATCTTCTGAAGAAATCCTATGGTGCTTAAAACCAATGATCTGATTGACTCTTTTGAAAATCATTGTGCTGCAGTGGTTGGTTACATCTATGTATTTGGCTCTGGCTTACTAGGGGAATTTCTTCTTCGCTTTTTTGTTGAGGATACTGGTTTTCCAAGTAAGGTTCTATCATTTATTACTACTATTTGAGTATTGGACAACTCTCTTTAGGTTTTATGCATGACGATATCTTTGTTTATGTACAAAGAGGGTTGGATAGTTCATAGTTGTAATGGAGATCATCCCTGGATTTTCATTGTTCCGAGGATTATACGAGTTTGGTCAATATGCATCTGCTGGAAACTCAATGGGGACCACTGGTATGAAATGGAGTAATCTAGATGACTCTCTTAATGGAATGCGTGGTGTCTTCATTATTATGGTTGTGGAGTGGGCAATACTTCTCCCCTTGGCATTCTATGTGGATCAAGTCTCGTCGCTGGGTGGTGGATTCAAGAAAAATCCCTTTTTCTTTCCGAGCTGCTTTAAGAAGCGTGCTCTATCATTGCGGAGATATAGCTTTGGGAGACAAGGATCTAAAGTAGTCGTTGAAATGGACAATCCTGATGCTGTTCAAGAAGTAAGTTACTCTCTTACATTATCTCTCAATGATACTTTCTGTATTTCTTATTTTCTAAATTATGTTTAGAGAGAGGTGGTTGAGCAACTTCTGCTAGAACCCATTGCAAACCAAGAGATCCTCTCTGATAACCTCAAAAAGGTTTACCATGGAAAAGACGGAAACCCTGACAAACTTGCTATCCGAGGGTTGTCTCTTGCCATACCAAAAGGCTAGTGTTTTGGAATGCTTGGCCCGAATGGAGCTGGGAAAACATTCTTCATCAGTATGGTATATCAACATAGCCTATTACTTTGATTTTTTTTGACAAATTTTAGGTGATATTATGCACTCCACAATGATATATTTTCCCTGCAGATGATTGGGCTTATTCCACCAACATCTGGCACCGCCTATGTACATGGACTGGATATAAAGACTGACATGGATGCAATCTATTCTAACATGGGTGTATGCCCACAGCATGAGTATGACCTTGCTCTCAAATTTATATGTTCTATCTGAAACCCATTTCTGCCGATTACCGTTGCATTCTAGTGCCATCAGTTCTCATTCCCTTTCACTTTGATGCAGCTTACTTTGGGAAACATTAACAGAAAGAGAGCATCTATTGTTTTATGGGAGACTGAAGAATCTTAAAGGCACTGAATTATTGAAGGTATAGTTCTTTTTTTGATGTAAGGGCAGGAGCTCTGCCATTCATTAAGGGGATAAAGAGGAGTTATATGTACAGAGTGGCACTAGGGCCAAAAGGGGCAAGCAAACACACAACCAAACTGTGGAGGCAAACTGTACACAGGGGAGCCTTAGCCCGGTAGTAGAGTCTAATGACTAGGTGTTGTGAAAGCCCTTCTATATTGCACTAGATCATCTTTGGCTCGCCCGGCCACCTGGAGTGCTGTGGAGGAATTATTGTCAAAAATTCGGCGATTACGTTCCTTCCAAAAAAAAATATTGAAGGTATAGTTCTGTAATTGGCATGTTTTAATATTAGTTCCTATTTACCTTCACTGAGAAATAGTTTGAGGTGACTTATGCTATGTTTGTTGATTCTATGTTGCAGCAAAAATCCACATGTCTATAAAGACATGTAGACATCTATACTGAGCTTACAATATTCTGTACTGCAGGCTGTTGATGACTCTCTGAAGAGTGTTAATCTGTTTCACGGTGGCGTTGGTGATAAGCAAGTGGGAAAGTACTGTGGGGGCATGAAACGAAGGCTTAGTGTTGCCATTTCATTAATTGGGGATCACAAAGTACCACCCACACTTCTATTTATGTGTATTAGTGCAGAATATACATTGGCGTGTGCATCTCATAATTTGATACCTTTAGGTGGTTTTCATGGATGAGCCAAGCACCGGACTAGATCCAGCATCAAGAAACAATCTGTGGAGTGTTGTGAAGGAGGCAAAGAGAAACCGTGCTATCGTTCTTACAAGTACTGAGCTCTCCTTATACTCTGTTTATTGCTTCTGTAGACACAATAATGCCAACTGTTGAAAAAAAATGCCAACTGATGAAGTAATTTTTGACAGCGCACTCAATGGAGGAGGCAGAAGTACTATGTGATAGACTTGGCATTTTTGTCGATGGTGGATTCCAGTGCCTTGGTAACCCAAAAGAGGTAACTTACCTATTTACCACTATGGAGCAAACATGTACATTTTTGCGTAGCTGTTTATTGAACACTTTGCAAATGTTTGCCATGAATTGTTTTGTAGCTGAAAGCTAGATATGGCGGCACCTATGTACTGACAATGACAACATCTTCGGAGAATGAGCAGGAGGTTGAACAGCTTGTTCACCGCTTATCACCAAATGTGAGCAGGATATACCATATTTCAGGAACCCAGAAATTTGAGCTGTCAAAGCAGGACTTGAAGATTGCAGATGTATTCCATGCCGTCGAGAGTGCAAAACGCCGGTTCAGCATATATGCTTGGGGTCTGGTTGACACCACCTTGGAGGATGTCTTTATTAAGGTTGCCAAGGGAGCACAAGCATTCAGTGTTGTTGCATAAGTAGTATAGTGGATTTATAGATGTCACTCTCTTTTTTTGCTGTGGAATATGTGGTGTCTATGCTTGTCTGAACTTTGGTAATAGTCTTCATAGGATTGACGTTGTGGTGTATATTTTAGTAAAATTAAGTTGTATATATTCTGTAATTTGAATGTCATGTTGTCCCTTAACAAATATAGATATACTTTGTTCATAGTGTCAAATCTTTACAATGTTCGTAAGAGAAGTCTGGTCAACACTGTAGGCGTTAGACAAATGATCCCATGCATTTGGACAACAGCAGTATCGAGAAATGAGCTAGTGCTCTTTTGTTTATCTCCTCTGCGCTCTTTTTGCCTCGGTCTTATGCGAAACCAGAGCTCAGACTGGATGTATTTTTTCCTACGTTTTGTGAAGGGAACCAAACCTTTCCTTTGGAACTGAAACGAGCGTTCCTCCGTTCCAAACGCTGCCTGACGTAATCCAAACAGAGGAACTGGTTTCCTTTAAAGTTCCTGTGAAAATACTCCAATCCAATCGGGCCCTTAGTTTTCTTTTCTTTTGCGAAGAGAACTTAGTTTTGACTAAAGTCATCGCAAAAAATGAACTTGTTGTCACTTTTGTTTGCATTGTTTACTTTAAAGGAATAAAAACATTCAATGAAAGAAAGTCTTCACTTTTGTTTGCATTATTGCACATATGTACTTGATTACACATTTCTTTTTGCTAAAATGGGAAACCACCTAAAAATATAGAAAAATAAAAATTAAATCATAGCTTAGTAGAAATCAAACTAGTACCTTACTAACTACCAATCAAAGCACATGCAATTGGAATATCAAGTCACTATTGAGCGCATTTGAAAATTATTTGGCTAAAATAAATAAGGGTCAAATGAGTGCCGTGGCTCACCCAGTATATCCCCTACCAGGTCCATCCTTGGTCACAATAGCATATAAAAAAACCATGGAGACTTACCACTTATTGTGCGTGTATATATGCTCAATGGCGGATACACATCTAGAGTCACTAGGGCCCTGGCCCTAAACGTGGCCCAAAACCTCTCTTATAACCCCCCTAACACCCCCACCACCAACCCGTAACCCAATAATTGTTTCTATCCTAGTAAGATTTCCTGTAATTTGATCTGAGGCATGTCTCAACATAGTAGTAGAAGTCCATCAGTTATAGGGCGAGTCATCAAGTTATAGGCTAATTCAAGCAGATATGACGGCCTCGCATCCAAAAATCACCCACCGGCCGCCGCCCTCTAGCCTCTGTCCTCTTGCACGGGTCTCACGCTCCCTCCCCCGGTCACTCCCACTCGCCAGGCACCAACCAACCCTAGCAGGAGTGTGGCAGCCCGACTTGGACACGATGCCCAGAGCGTTTGTCTTGTAGCGCTAGTTGCTCATCGGTCTGGCAATGCATGAGACGACGAGATGTGGTGTGCCAGTGCCAGACTACTGGTGCCATAGATGAGAGCCAAACAAGTAATGAAGCAGGTCAGTCTTCCATTCATTATTTCTCCTGATTTTCCCAATCAGGCAGTCCCTATGCCTTGATCCAATCCTCTCTATTTAAAATTTTCAATTGAACAAATTAAGTTCATGGGTTGTTTATGCCACAATAGAAAGGACCAATACATAGAAATCCAATTTATTCTCTAGTATGTTGTCCTCTTTGTTATCAATTTTTGTTCATTAATAAACTGTAGTTCAATATTATTACATCCTATACTGATTTTCAATGTTAAAACTTTCATGTATAGGTTCAGGTTCACTTGCTAATGTAGATGATATGATAGAGATAGACATGGATGAACCAAATAGTTGTGTACCAGTTCATGTATTTATTATGTTTATTGTACAAATGTGCGATCAATTGAGATATTCTAAAGAATGTATTTTATCTGTTGCTTCTGTGAACTATCGGTATCAATATGTAGTGTCACGCCCCAAAATTTCTAATTTTGGGTTGCGCATAGAAAACACTAAATAAGATGAATTATTTTAATATTTGGATAAAATTTACCAAGTTTAGTTTGAGCTAGCGCAAATTTAGTTATAGGAAAAAAATATGAATTTTCAAAGTTTTCTAATTTTGACGGGCGTTTGGATGATGTGATGTTTGCTTGTTGCTTCTTTGTGTGTTGAGAGTGAGCAAAGTCTTTCAAATACGTTAGTAGGTCGATTTTTCTTCTCTAGCATGCCTTTATCTTTTTCTACAATCAAATTCTTTGTTTCTCGGCTCAAGTTTTCGTTGGGAGCAACCTAAAATCTTTTCTTTGTAACGCAAATCACTCCTTTCATTTCCTCATCCGTCAATCAATCTTTACAAACTTCTCGAAAAATTTTCAGCTTTTTTTGAAACTTGTTCCTACTTGTTTGTGAGCATAATTTAATTTTTAGATGCTCCAAATTATCTTATCATGGGCTTCAAATACTTTATTTGGGTTCCTCACGTTCCATAATGTCTTTGGGAAATTTTCCCGAATTTTCAGAACTTTCGGAGTATTTTTCGCGGCTTAAATAATAATTCTAGACTTTTCTAGAATTATTTTATCCACGAAATTAATTAATGCCGAAAATAATAAATCTCTCATTTTTTTTCCAACGCTCAAAGCCCATGTGCAATAATCCTAATAAATCCTAAAGGCCTATGCATTTATTTACTATTGGGCTTTAATGATTATTTAGGCCCATTAGTAAATGTGGAGGGTGCAACATCAATTAGTACCATTTTGCTAGTTGATGTAGATGTGGGGAGTTTTTCTCCCAATAAATATGTACCAACCCCTTGGGTAAAGCACACCAAAACTACTGTAAAGGGAGCCCCTAGTTTGAGAAATACCTCATGTAGTAAATTAGATTTTTCTCTCTCCATGCCGCCGCCGCCGTCGCTCTGTTCCTCGTCATCGGCCTCCACCCGATCTTGCCGAAACCATCAAAGTTAAAGGAAAAGCCATCTCCGAGAGAGCTTCGCCGAGCTACCACTGCACGTCGTTGTCGCCCACGGCCGCGTGGAGTCTGGCTGTCCGCCAAAGATGTGGCGGTCACCATAGTTCTATCTGCAGCAGCTACCTCTCCTGCCGCAGTCCGTGTTTCATCGAGAGCCGTCATCAATCTCCGAGATGGACATGTGGACGTCCCGCCTCCATCGGTTCTGTTCCATAATTAAGCTAGGTTGGATAGCATGCAAGCGTGTTGTTCCGGCCTTGTCCGAAGGTCCATGCATCTCCATCAAGATCGGGCACGCGACGTGATTGAGTTCAGGATCTGTACGTGCGCCCTTTAAGTCGAGTTGCCTGCACTGCAATCCTACAAATCTTTGTCGTCGCCTAGTACCTGTGCCTTGGATCTGTTTCCATATAGCAAGCTAACATGGTCAGCGTCTCTATGTCCGTAGCTTTTTCTTTTGCGTTGAGCTTGTACTGACGTAATCTACATCTTAGCAACCACGTTTTCTATTGTCAAATATCTCTGAATTTTATAATTTAAATAGTAATATGATTAATATGCATGCAACTAATTTTATAATTAACAGCAACATAAGCATGATACTCTGATGTTTTATACATATAAATATTAATATGCTTAATTGCTATCACCGTGTTTTTGAATTATAAATTGTTTAGCTTATACCCACACCATAAGCAGTTCTAGTAGGTGTTTCACCTGTCCTTTTATTTGGCAAATTTAGTGTTTAATTTTCTTGAATATACAACAATATTTATAAGTAAAATATTACTAGATTTAACTTGGCTTTTAAATTAAACTAAGATTTGTCTAATATGAATTAAACTTCTCTATGATTTTGTTTAACTAAAATAAATCAAGCTTGTAGTTGTTTCTTTTATAATATAAAACTCCCGCTAGTCGTTACTTTTTAACGATAGTTCTGTTATCGGCATTTCTTGTGATAGTAGAATTAGCTCTCTTTTAGTACGTTGTTTTATCTTGAGTGGTGTACTGTTCTTAGTTGCTTTTATTTGTTGCTGGTATGTTTGCCTATGTGTGGTGCTTGATATGAGTAGAACAAGAACCGTTTGTGAGCGCCAAGATCAGAAGGTGGTGATGACCAGAAGCAAAGTATGAGAAAGTTTGAGCAAGTGTCAAGGCAAATATAGCATGGGATCTTCCTTGTTGTCCTATTCACCTTAATATCACTTTAATCCTATGCATGTGTCTACCTTGGCAATTATAGTAATTTTCCTAGCTATTTGATATCCTAGATTCCTTGTTACCTATGGGGTATTGCATTGGGTAGTATGATGCTAGTGCTCAATTAAAGATTATGATCTTGTAACTTGACTAATGGAATATGCAATAAACATTAAAAGATGCTTTTTAGCAACATGGAATCAGGGGGCTAGAGCATTGGGCTATTTTATGGTACCCTAGATTCCTCTCTCTAAGGACTTATCTGTAAGTGATCATCCGTGACTTATAGTACAACTACGAGGGCTATATGGCTCTGGCTTTAACTTAGTATGAAGACCTTTTCTAGCTTGTTAGTGGTTATCTTTATTGGCGTAAGAATGGCTTGCCGAATCGGGTATAGGACATCCTCTACTCTTATGTGTATAGCCATGATGGAATTGTGCCATTCGACAGGGGGTTCTATATTTGTTTGCCGAGTGAATCTAATGGCCCTAACTTGTTAGACGAACCTTTGAAAGGCTTCATAGTGAACCCTGCCGACCTTCTTTGGTAGTGGGTCAAGAGGCTGATCACTTCGGGTGAAAGAGTAAATCACGACTCATAGTGAAAGTGTACAACCTCTGCAGAGTGTAAAACTGGCATATCAGCCGTGCTCACGGTCACGAGCGGCCTTGGAACATTTACGTAATAGATAAAGAACTTGGATGATATCGATAATGAAGATACTCATTAATGATTACTGTTTATGCTATTCATTATTCATGTTTACCTGATCATGTGTTTATATGGGCTTATGATAAACTTGTTGCTACTCCTTTGCTAAAATTATGACAATTAAAAGCTAATTGCAGTTAAATC